CCTCATTCTTGTTTTCCTTCTGGGAGCTTCATTCTTCCCTCTTTCTCTTCGAAGGCTCAGGATCTCCTTGTATCTGCCTGCCGCCTGTAGGCACACTGTCATATCCCCGCTCAGTAGGACATCACTGTTGTCTTACCTTGAGCCAGGGTCGTTGTGAGGAAGAATGGATTAGAAAAAAACGTAAACCCCTTTAGGGAAAAGGCAGAGGTTGACGTTTGTTATCAATTCAGTTTTGCCTCCAGTTGTCAGGAAAGGTCGGTCTCTGAGGCTGGTGGTTCATCAGTTAATTGCTTCCGCTCTTCTGTCAGGAGGCAGAGCTAAGGATGTGAACCGAGGGTTTGGAAACTTCTGGAAATTTCGGAGTGGAACTAAGGAAGAGCAGGGTTGCGGAGGGGACAGGCCTCAGTGGTGTTTAATGCCACTGAGTCCACCCTCTACAGAGGCTGTTTTCTCCAGGGGAACTGATCCCTGTAGGATGAGAAAAAGTTATTCCTGGAACTTCCCAGGCCCCACCAGAGCTGCCCATTCAGTCTCCAAACTAGCATTAAATATTGCACAGGGGCACACCTCTAGTCTCAAATAAAATCTTCCGCATCTAACTTTCTTTGCAGCTGCCACAACCACGATGTGCCTCAGAGCTCTGCTAGCCGTTATTTCAGTTACGTTGTGCAACTTTCCCTAATTCCAGCCTGCCCCTCCCTCACCTCATTCCTGTGTTCCTTCCGGGACCTTCATTCTCCCCCCTTTTCCTTTCAAGGCTCAGAATGTCCTTGTATCTGCCAGCCGCCTGTAGGCACACTGTGATATCCCCGTGGGGTAGGATGTTGTTATTATATTTAGAGAACTGATATGCCTCTTCTCTGGAAAGCTGCACAAGAAACCTCACAACTAAAATAATAAAACCCAATAAGCAAATTAAAACAATGCTGAAATAAATGGAGTCTCTTAGGTAGGCGCCTGGCTGTGTGTGTGTGTGTGTGTGTGTGTGTGTGTGTGTGTGTGTGTGTGTGTTAAGAGAACGAGAAGGCCTACAGAGAAAGGGTGACCCATGCTTGTTCAGTTTCCACTCCCGATATCTGGAAATGCTGTTTTGTTTTTCTTTCCTGTTGAATAAACTTGAGTAGGTTTTCGAGTAGACCCACAAAGGATTACCTTCTTTGTTGTATAGTGTATAGGAAACTCAGTAGGATCCAACATGTCTTTAAACCCTATTGAAGAGACCTATGATCGTTCATACTTCCAAATAAAGTGAAATTGTTTTCAGGTGGTACCACAAGTATGTACTGCAAAGATCAGCTTGTTATGTTGCTTTGGTTTTGTTTACCCTGTTCCTCTCCTCCCTCCCAGCCTGTTCCACAAGCGTGGCTGGCGTGTTCCCCAAGCCCAAAAAGAACAACACAAGTGAAGATCCGGTGAGGAGAAAAAGTACTTAATATTTATTGCAGCAAACGGGAAAGACAGAGCTAGGCAACAGAGTGCCTGCCAAAAACAGCTGCTTTCTGAATAATACGAGGAAAAACATAGGGGTTTATACCCAAAATGACATAAGCAAAAAAGGTAACATACAGAAACCTTTATTGGTACAGGTAATAAGGCATCATTTGAGTAAGCATACATTCATTGGTCAGTTACAATAAGAGGTGTTGCTATATCATATCTTAATTATTTATTTGACATAGAACAAAGCAGTCTTCTTCAACTTTAACCAAGGACCCTTCATGCCCAAGCAAAAAGTGTCCACACTAAGTTCGGCATCACACCCATACCGTACTGTGGTTCCTCCTGGAGCTTCATTCTACCACCTTTCCGTCAGCGAGAATGTCCAGGTCTCCTTTAGCCACCTGCAATGCATGGGATAGAGCAGGTAGAGAAAGAAGTACTTTTCTCCCTTTCTCACAAGACAAGAACTCGTGGGCACTCCATGAAATTGCTGAGCAGTCGGGTTAGAACATTTCATTTACTTAAAATTATTTGGCAGAGAATTTACTTTTGGCATCTTGGCATTTCATTTACTTAAAATTATTCAACAGAAACTCACTAGCATATTAAGCCACACCCCCATGTTACCAGAAGTGTGGTCATCCAGCCACACCCACCTTTTGCTTCTTATTGTTTACTTTGTTGTCAAAACCCTGGGCTTTTTTTGTAGCAGGAACTCCTTTGCATGTTAGTCCACACACCCCTAATGTAGCCAATCCTAATGAGTTTCTGCTGTTAGGTGTGGCCTATTATGCTAATGAGTTCCTGCTGGGCGTGGCCAACTCAGGAGCCAGCCGGAACTCTGTTCCTGTGCGTTCCTGCCCAAAAATAGCCCTGAGTACAACAAAGCTACCATAATTTCCAGATCACCCACATTTACATTCAGGCAAGCCATCTGTGCTGCAGCTTCTGTGTTTCAGCTTAAAACTCCACAGTGTCCTTCTGGATGGCTTTCAATAGATGCTAGGTAGGGATATCTGTAGACTACCAACGAGTCTAGGAGTGTCAGAAGTGCTGGAGTCTGAGCAACAGCCTAATTTTACCCCAAAGGTTGGACACCGATGCAAAGCCAGAACTAATGCTCATTGCTCAGAGTGTGGAAAGAATTCTAGCTTCCCAGCAAAGAATCTACAGTGGGGAGAAACCACAGAAATGGTCAGAGTGCGGAAGGAGATTCAAGGAAAAGGAGCAGCTCACTTATCATCCAAGAATCCACACTGGGGAGAAACCCTATGTGTGTTCAGAATGTGGACGAACCTTCTGTCAGACACAGGGCCACATGAAGAAGAAGAAGAGATTGGATTTCTACCCCGCCCTTCACTACCCAGAGGAGTCTCAGAGCGACCTAGAAACTCCTTTCCTTTCCCCTCTGCACAACGGACACCCTGTGAGGTAGGTGGGGCTGAGAGAGCTCTTGACAGAAATGGCTCTTTTTCAAGAACAGCTGTGCCAGAACTATGGCTTGCCCAAGGTCATCCAGCAGGTGCAAGTGGAGGAGTGGGGAATCAAACCTGGTTCTCCCAGATTAGAGTATGCACACTTAACCACTAAACCAAACTGGCCAGAATCCACAGTGGGCAGAAACCCCACTACACCAATCCCAGAATCCACAGTGGGCAGAAACTTTCAGATCACTAGTGTTTCCCTTTGGGTAATTCAGCTGTGCTTCATGGGAGAAGTCCACACAGTGTCCTGGATTTTTTCCAATATCTGGCGGGTGAGCGGTATCAATCACAGAAGACCCCCAGGAGATCCAGGAGGGCTGGCAACAGTACTATAGAGATGCCAGGAACGTTCACAGCAGTCACTTTCAGTAGCTAAAGATGTCTCATTTAGACAGCTGCAATGCGCTGTGAGCCTGTGAATATCTGTTAGCCTGTCCAAGCCCTCAGGTGGAGGTCTTTCACATCACATCAAGCTGGGTTGCACCTCTAGAGCACAGAGATCCAATAACTCACATGTTAAACCACACTAGAGTGTTTTCTTCCCTAATCCAGTATTTCAGTTCAACTGTTTGTTACCGTCCCTGAACT